GGTGTCTCAGGAAGGCCCTTCGCAAAAGGCGAGAAAATTCAGTTCTGGTCCCATTTTTGGCTCAAAGCTTTGTAGTCAACGAGTCCCCCAATTCAAGTGACAACGGCAAAAATAGACTAAAGTTTCTCATGCTGAGTGCAGAGCTGGGCATACAGCAGGCGGTTAATAACTTGTGGAGGGAGGTGGGAACCTACATTGACTGGTGGGGTGGGGGCTTACCTCCAGCAGGGGGCAGTGATTCACTAGGGCCAGGGTCCAGTTGCGTGTGGCATTGACCTCTGTCCTGACGTCCCCATGGGCAGTCAGGGTGCATGGGCCCAGGGCCACCTCCAGCTGGGCCCTGGGGGGTTCGTCTCCCCCCACGGACACTCGGATGTGGTTGTCGGGGGGCACCCCCAGCGCCTGAAGTGGAGGCTATGTGTGCTGGAGGCTGGTGTCCAGGCAGGCATGGCGGCCGCAGGCTGTGTGGACGTGGGCCCGGGCGAAAGTGTCCCCAGAAGATACCTGAGCCACCAGGCTGGCCCCAAAGGCGTGGACCAGGAAGGAGCCATTCAAGATAAGCACAGCTGGATTCTGCCACCAAGAAAGGCAAGGTGAGCCCGAGCGGTTGTCCATACAACACCCCACCAAGTGTGTCCACAGCCTGCCTGTCCACAGGTGGTCAAGGGAGCCCCCATCCCCCAGGGGCACCCACCACCCCCCTTAACAGGTGCTGCTCATGTGAAGCACTTCTCTCTGAAGAGCTGAAACCGGCCTCCCAGGGAAGCAAGAAATTCGACCGTTCAGAGCACTTTAGGGCCCCTGATGCCCACTCCCCCGCTCCCCATGAGGCCTCTGGGTCCTCCCTCCCGTTTCCTCCTCTCTTTTCCATAATGAACCTTGGGCCTCTCAACCTCTCTGGTCTGGACACGTCCTCCTTAACGCCTTGAATGGAAGTCACTGCAACTCTAAGTAGTGTACCTGGGGGTCCTGGAGTGTCTGCACGCCCGTGACAGAACCAGAAGCTGCTCTCAGCCCTTTCCTGTCATCCAGTGTTCATCTGTCCACCTGGAGTGGGGGCAGCACCACTGACGACAGGGTGAATGCACGTATCACTCCCACCACAGCTAAATGGAGGCCACAGAGGAGCCACGGAGCTCGGGGTGGCCGCCCATGGATTCTCCCACCTGGTCGTTGCTGACCTGCTCTAGGACTAAGGAATGCCTTATTTCCAGCCCTTTCCTGGAAGTCCAGACCACGGCTCTCGGAGGGAAGGGCCGTCCATTCATGGCTCTTGTCCTAACCCTCCCGCTCAGTTAGTCTTTGCAGAAGTCACCCTCGCGCCCCAGCCCTGGGTCTTTCTCACAAGTGTAGCTGCTAACTCCACGTGCCCCCTCGGTCTTAGGTTTCCTCTGCGGGGAGGCAGCCCATCTGTCTAGCTCATTAAGACCCTTTCAATCCTCATCCTCAATTCTCTTGGCTAACCCTCCTGCCATTCAGGCCACTGTGTGACCTTGGGAAGGTGACTTCACCTCCCTGAGCCTCAGTTTCCACATCTGTAAAATGAGATCATGATTCCCTGATAGCTGAAACCATGCCAAAAGAGAGGATACCAAATTGAGATGGGACCTGACATGCGTTGGCCCATTTCATGCTCGACAGTGTAAGGTAGGTATTGCCACCTGCAGTTTACTGATGACGAGGCTGAGGCTCAGAGAGGTTAACGCCTGGCTAAAAGTCACACAGCAGGTGAGTGGCAGGTCTGAGCAGGAAGTTGTGTTGGTCTGATTTTCTGGTCCCTGTACTGGGTGGAGCTGCTACCACTGCCAAGCTGGAGGCATGAAAGTACTGCATCTTTTACGCTCACAGAGGTGAAGCTGGCAGAAACAGTCCTCCCAAGGAGGCCATGTTCCTTCTATCTGGACAGCCAGGTGGTGAGCCCATAGCACCAGCTCCCAGGACCCCCAGACAGTGCCCCAGGCCAGACACCCTGCAGCATCCACTCAGCACCTCCAGGCTCATGTCTGCCTGGTCCCGGAGCAGATCCTAAGGAGCAGAAAAACCTCTGTCCTCCTCCTCCCCCAGGCCGTCCTCAGGGCTGTGCTCACTGGCTGGCCCCCCACAGCCAACTGGACTGAGAGCTCAGCTGAGCCAGGCCTACCACAAGCTGCCCACTTAGCTGCCCACAGGGCAGCACTGACAAGGTCTGCAGGCAACCCCAGTGGCTGCCCCATGTCCAGTTCACCCACAGCTCTTGGCCCAGGAACCACAGGGCCCCGCTGGAGATCAGGGAGTCCAGGCCCTGTGCTCAGGTCTCCCAGCCATGCCTTGCCTTCGAAGGAGAGGACCTACTATCCACCTGCACCCTGGCCCGGGAGAGCTCGTAGCTACTTAAGCTGTACTGTGCCCCAGCCTGGGCAGCATGTGTGCCTGTGAGCCCCACGGTCTGTCTCCCTCGAAAGACCCAGATATGCCTGTCACCAGCCCAGCTCCCTGTGGCAGAGGCTGGCTTGGAACACTTGGATTCTGGGTCACTGTCTAAGTGTGCTTACAGGAGGGACCACCCATCTGCTGTCAGGTTGGGCTGGGTCCCCTCAGGGCTGGGAGCCCAGATGCATGTTACTGGGGACGTGGAGGGCTTGGAGGAGGGGACCATGTGGGTCGGCCTGGCAGTGGCCACAGGCCCTAAGCCATCCAGCAGGCAGCCCCTGGTGCTCAGCCTGTGCCCACCCCAGCCCCCCAGAGGCAGACCACCATCTCCCATCCTGCCCTGCCCGTGACAGAGACCCTTGTACCTCGTGAGGCCACCCAGTGACGTCCCCCCAGCAGAGCCCTGACAGCTGGGCAGGCAAAGCGTCTCCACTGCAGTTGACCTAGGGAGACCAGCAGGGTGGGTAGGGGGCATGTGTAGGCATGAGGTGTCTCTCCCCGATCTTAACCCTGGACAGAGTACTGAGATACAGCTTGACCCCATCTCCCTTTGTGAAGGCCTCCCTGGGAAGATAACCCCCAAAGAGTTTTGTGCAGACCTAAGTGCTAACCCACAGAATCGTCAAAAACAGAAGTAACCAGAAAAAAACAGAAGTAACCTGTGTACCAGGTTCTAACTGGTTCCTCATCTGATCCTCAAGGTAAACATGGGAGGCAGGGATTATTAACAGCCCCATTTTGCAGATGAGAACACTGAGGCACAGAAAGAGTAAGCAACTGGACTAAAGTTGCACAATTGGTAAGTGATGAAGCAGGCTGGATTCAGGCCGCATGCCTGGCTCGCTCACCCTGACACTCGGACACTTTGGATGGTTTAGCAACACCTGTGCCAGGCCCAGAGGTGGTTTCCTGCTTTTTGTTCTTGAGAACAATGCAAAAGACAGCTGTGTGTGTGTTTCCTTGTCTAGTGTTCTGGGTTTCTCCAGGGGAGGTAATCCAGAACACGAGCTGAAGGGTGAGAGGCTCAGCAGTTTTCATTTTACTAGATAGACCCAGAGCGCCTCTGAGGGAGCTGCCTCAAATACACTTCCATTTATGAGGGCAGGGGAGGGAGCATTGACAGAGGGACAGGAGGACAAGTGGACAGAAGACAGAGAAGAGTAGAAGGCAGGGTGGGGAGGAAGGAAGGGAGGGTGGATGGATGGGAGGAGAGGGTGGGAGGAAAGGAGAAAGGATGGATGGGAAAGGAGGATGGGAAATTTGGTGAGAGGCTGGGAGGGAAGGTGGGAGGGGCTGGGACGGTGAGAGGGGCAAGCTGGTGGGAGGGGCTAGGGAGGTGGGAGGGGCACATTGGTGGGAGGGGCGAGGAAGGTGGGAGGGGCAAGCTGGTGGGAGCTGGGAAGGTAACTAGAGAAGTTGCATAGGCAGTGGGCCCCGCCCAAATGGGGACCTTGGGTCACTTACCTGGAGCCTTGAGAGGCTGTGATGCAGCCCCAGGGCCAGCCCCTAGGGCCAGCCCCCAGCGGCCGCCGGCTCCCCTCCTCTCCAGGGCTACACGAAGCTGATCGCCATCCACGTTCACCACCAGCGCAACCGCCAGACTGGGTCCCACGCTCTGGGAGAAGCAAAGCTGTGGGTGTCTCCCAGGCCCACTGTCCCCATGGGACCCGGGCCCAGCCCCCTCACCCACCTGCAAGTGCCCGCGGCCGTCCACGGACAAGGGGAGGCCCCAGCGCCTGAGGCTGGGCACCGTGTGGCCAAGGCTGGCACGGAGCCGGCTGCCCAGGGTGCTGGTGACCGGGCCCTCCAGGCCAAGGGCAGCATCCAGCTGACGCTCTGCACTACGCAGCATCACATGCACTGAGAGGTTGGAAGCCACGTGGCTGTGCAGTAGGAGCATCTCTGCCTGGGAGGGGAGTCCTGGGGATGAGAGGAACCAGAAGATGGTACACTCCACGGGAGCCAGAACGGGGTCACTGACAGCCCTCCTTCTCTCTGGAGGGTCCCCTGAGCCCTGAGACAGAGAAACCCCCCAGCTCCCACCTAATACCTACAATGGCCACACCTAGCAAATGATAGGCCCTGTGTCCCCTTTGGATTCCCACCTCCCCAAAGACAGGGCATGGGCTCTCAGAAAGCACGAGGGAAACAGGGGTCTGATCCTGTGCTCTCTTCTGGTTGCTGCACATTTGGGCCCCCCCCCAGTCCCGTGGAAATGTCCCCAAGAAGCTAGAGCTGGGGGTGTCCAAGCTATTTCTTAACCACAGTGCCGAGAACATCCTGGAGGCCCTGCTAGACCAGGCTTCCAAGCTGGAGAAGCCAGACTGGGGGCGGGGAATCCTGGGGGAGGAGCCAGTGGCAGCGGCGTCTGCCCTCCAGTTTGGAGGTGTGTCTGTACTGGGTAGCAACCAGTGTTCTGGCTGAATAACAGCTGAAGGAAGATGGAGGCACTGGGAGAAGGTAGTATGGGGACGAAATAGCTGGAAGGTGGGTTTGGGGACTGGGGGCTCCTTTAACTCCCTTGGCTTCAGGCCCTGGGAGTCTTTGAGGGAGGAAGCCATTGGGCCCTATCCACCCCTCCTACCTGCCTCTCACAAGGTGCTGATGTTGTGACTCAGTGTGACCGAGAGCTGGCCGTGCCCAGGGCCCCAGATGCAGACTCCACCCAGAGCTAGGCTGGCCGTGTCAGCATGGAGGCTGGCCTGGCCCTCAAGGCTCCCCATCTGAGCCTGCAGTCGCCCCCTCAGCTGGAGCTCTCCTGGCAAGGCCCGGCTGCCATTCTGGACAAGGATGCAGGTCACACTGTGCACACTGGTGCTGTTCCCTGCCTTCTCATGCTTGTCCCGCAAGAGGAATCCCAGCACAGCTGAGTCGGCAGTGACCTTGATGGTACCTGCAGAGGATGGGAGAGAACCCATACAAAGAAGGGGGTCAGCCCAGGGTACTGGGCTGCTTTGGGAAGGAAGGCAAAGGATCCTGGGGCAGGAAGTTCCTAGATCCATGATAAAATTCTAATTCATGTCGGAGACAGCATATCTGGGAAATGGACCAAATTAAACCACCTCCCCTGCAGGATGCTCCGAGAACCAAGCAAGCTAATTCACAAATAAAAGAGCTTTGGCAAAAAAGCAGCAAGCCTGATAAGGCGTGTCTGTTAATACCAGTGCTGAATCCTGCTCAGGAGAGTCACGGATCAAAGTGATAGAAAGCCCCCATTTTACAGACAACAAAACTGAGACCCAGAAAGCCTCAAGGGGTCCAACCTGGAATTCTACAGAGAGAAAAATTGCTCAGAGGTCTCTTCCACCCACTTGAGAAAAAGATTCCACACCCTTAAATTAAGCTAGTCCCACACACCCTTAAGCTAGTCCCATTCCAATACATAACTCATGCATTTAGAGAAATTCTTGCTTTTATCAGAACCATTTACATCTCCTGACCCCACTGGGCTCCAGTAGGGTCTTGACGTGGTTCAAGTGCCCTTATACCTCTCTCCTTTCATTCAAGGTTTGACTCCGGGGTCACCACCTCCAAGAAGCCTTGCTTGGCCTTTCTGCACCCCCAGGCTGGGTTAGACACCCTTGTTCCATGCTACCAGACATAGAGCTCTTGCTAACCTCTATCACAGAGTCCAGAGCACTTTCTATACAGATGGAAATTTCTCGCAGAATCCTGAAATCATCTTTTTACAAATTCCTTACATTTTAGGGCCCTATGTCACCATGCCCTACAAGATGTTAACCAGTGTGAAATAATGTCAATAGAACAGTGTGGAATCGAGGAATAGACCCATACACAAATTGTCAATTGATTTTTGACAAAAGTGCAAAGGTAACTAACCGGGAAAAGGATAGTCTTTTTAATAAATGTGCTGAATTGTTTGGAAATCCACATGCGAAAAAACTATCGTGAACTTTACCCAAACATATACACAAATTAATTCAAAATTAACCACATAAGAAAAGGGAACCCTCCTACACTGTTGGTGAAAATATAAACTGGTGCAGCCATTATGGAGAACAGTAAGGAGGTTCTTGAAAAATATAAAAATAGAGTTACCATGTGATCCAGCAATTCCACTCCTGGGCATATATCCAGGAAAGATGAAAATTCTAATTCAAAAAGATACAGGCACTCCAGTGTTCATTGCAACAGTATTTACAATAGCCAAAACATGGAAGCAACCTAAGTGTCCATCAACAGATGAACGGATAAAGAAGATGTGGTACATATATACAGTGGAATGTTAGCCATAAAAAAAGAATGAAATATGCTATCTGCAACAGCATGGATGGACCTGGAGATTATCCACATTATATTAAGTTAATTAAGTCAGACAGAGAAAGACAAATATCATATGACATTGCTTATATGCGGAATCTAAGAAAAAAAATGATACAAATGAACTTATTTACAAAACAGGAACAGATTCACAGACTTAGAGAACGAACTTATGGTTATCAGTGGGGAGGGTCGGGGAGGGACAGATTGGGAGTTTGGAATTGACATGTACACACTACTATATTTAAAATAGATTACCAACAAGGACCTACTGTATAGCACAAGGAACTCTGCTCAATATTCTGTAATAACCTAAATGGGAAAAGAATTTGAAAAAGAATAGATACATGTATATGCATAACTGAATCACTTTGTTGTGCACCTGAAACTGACACAACATTGTTAATCAACTATGCTCCAATATAAAATTAAAATTTAAAAAAAATAAATAAAAGAAAAGATACATGCACCCCAATGTTCATAGCAGCATTATTTACAATAGCCAAGCCCTGGAGGCAACCTAAGTGTTCATCAACAGATGAATGGATAAAGAAGATGTGGTATAACAGACGTAGAGAACAAACGTATGGACACCAAGCGGGGAAAGTGGCAGGGGTGGTGGTGGTGGTGTGATGAATCGGGAGATTGGGATTGACATGTATACACTGATGTGTATAAAATAGATAACTAATAAGAACCTGCTGTATAAAAAAATAAATAAAATTCAAAAATTCGAAAAAAAAGATGTGGTACAGATATACAATGGAATATTACTCAACCATAAAAAAGAATAAAATATGCCATTGCAGCAGCATGGGTGGACCTGGAGATTATCATACTAAGTGAACTAAGTCAGAGAAAGACAAATATCAATATCATATGACAGCACTTATATGTGGAATCTAAAATATGACTCAAATGAACTTATTTACAAAACAGAAGCAGACTTACAGACATAGAAAACAAACTTATGGTTACCAAAGGGGAAAGGGCAAAGGAGGGATAAATTAGGAATTGGGGATTAACAGATACACACTACTGTATATAAAACAGATAAACAACAAGGTCCTGCTATATAGCACAGGAAACTGTATTCCATATCTTGTAATAACCTATAATGGAAGACAATCTGAAAAAGAATATATATAAAACGAATCACTTTGCTGTACACTTGAAACTAACACAACATTGGAAATCAACTGCACTTCAATAATAGATAAAATTAACCACAGACCTAACTTTAAAACCTAATATCATAACACTTCTAGAAAAAAAAATGAGAGAAAAATTTGTGGCCTCAGACATCAAAAGCATGATTCACAAAAGAAAAAAAATGATAAATCGGACTTCATCAAAATTTAAAACCTCCACTTTTCAAAAGACACCATTAAAAAAATAAAAAGACATAGATCAGGAGAAGATATTCTCAAAACACATATCTGATAAAGGACTGTATAAATGATTCCCAAATTCAGTAATAAAAAACAAGCGACTTGATTTTTTAAATGGGCAAAAGGTTTGAATAGACACTTCACCAAAGAAGATTTACAAGTGGCAAATAAGCCAATGAAAAGATGTTCAACAAAATTAGTCATTAGGGAAATGAAAATTAAAACCAAAATGAGATACAACTACAAAAACAATTCGACTGATAAAAAAAAAAAAAAAACGAAAGCCAAAAACTGCCAGTACAAATTGCTAGCAAGGATGCAGAGCAACTAGAATTCTCACACATTGCTGGTGAGAATGGAAAATGGTACTGCTACTCTGGAAACAGTCTGGCAGTTTCCTATAAATACATACTTGCCATACAACCCAGCAATCCCACTCCTAGGTATTCACCCAAGAGAAATGAAACCATATGTTCCCACAAAAACCTATAGACCAATGATTATTGAAGCTTTATTCATAATTGGAAATTACGGGAAACAACTCAAATATCCTTCAGCTGTGAATGGATAAACTGCAGTATATCCATAGAATAGAATATTACTCACCAGTAAAAAGGAAAAAGAACTACTGATACATACAACTTGGATGAATCTCAACCACACTATGTTGGGCAAAAGATCCCATACTCAAAGCTTACGTGTTGTATGATTCCATTTCATGTGACATCCCGGAATAGCCCAAACCATAGGGACGGGACAGACAACATCTCAGTGGTTGCCAGGGACAGGGGGTGGGGGAAAGGCTGATGACAATGAGCAGCAGGGAGGAAATTTTGGGGGTGATGGAACTATTCTGTATCAGGACTGTGTTGGTGGGTACACAACTGTATGAGTTTGTCAAAACTTGAAGGGGTTTTCCCCATATGTAAATTGTACCCCAAGAAATTATACCTCAATAATTGCCTTCAACAATGTGGGCTCCCTAGTGGTGCAGTGGTTGAGAGTCCGCCTGCCGATGCAGGGTACATGGGTTTGTTCCCCGGTCCGGCAGGGGACGCGGGTTCGTGCCCTGGTCCGGGAGGATCCCACGTGCCGTGGAGCGGCTGGGCCTGGGAGCCATGGCCGCTGGGCCTGCGCGTCTGGAGCCTGTGCTCTGCAGCGGAGAGGCCACGACAGTGAGGGGCCCCCGTACTAAAAAAAAAAAAAAAAAAAATGAAGCAATGTGGGACTTCCCTGGTGGTCCAGTGGTTAAGACTCCACCCTTCCACTGCAGCGGGCACGGGTTCAATCCCTGGTCAGGGAACTAAGATCCCACATGCTACATGACATGGCCAAAAGAAAAAGAAGCAATGTATGTTAAGAGATCAGCATGAGGGTCTGTTAGTTATCAGCTGCAAATGATAAACTTCAGAAAGATGAAGGGGAGACCATCAGTGTAACTCAAAGTAAACTTGAGAAGAACAGCACGCTGCTTGATTGTATTTAAATTTTTTCAAACCCATGTCATCTGATCTTTAGACAGGTATTTTATTATGCAATTTGGTTTTGCCACAATTTAACCAATTAGGAATTAGGAGGGTCAGTGTTAATGTTAAGATTAGAGAATGATACTATTCCCCCAAGGTAGGTGGGAAAGCAGAGTTTTTAGATTCTGAAACACAGGGCCCTGGACAGATGTCCAGCTAGGGTGCTACGGTCAAGGATGCTTGGGCAAAAGACCCCATTTTGTATAATTCTGACTTTTGGAACTTGTTAAGGTTTCACATAATCGAAAAATAAATACACAAAATCAATAAAGATAGGGGGAACCTGAAAATGGAATACAAACAGAAACCAGTGAACCAATTGTACTTCGAATGATTTACAACATCACACGGGGTGGGTGGGAGATTAACTCCAACTAACATTTAAACACCATGTTTGCGGACTTCCCTAGCACAGTGGATAAGACTCCACACTCCCAATGCAGGGGGCCCAGGTTCGACCCCATGTACTTCGAATGATTTACAACATCACACGGGGTGGGTGGGAGATTAACTCCAACTAACATTTAAACACCATGTTTGCGGACTTCCCTAGCACAGTGGATAAGACTCCACACTCCCAATGCAGGGGGCCCAGGTTCGACCCCAGGTCAGGGAACTAGATCCCACATGCATGCCACAACTAAGAGTTCTCATGCCACAACTAAGGAGCCCGCCTGCTGCAACTAAGGAGCCTG